GAAAACTGAAGTCAACAAACATAAAATATGCCATGGTATGGTACAGCAATACAGAACCTGAATTTTTTTCAGAAGTCACCATCACAAATCCATCCCTTGAACCTTCTTTCAAAATGAGTGATAAATCAGTCTGAGTTCTTCATCAACTTGATAATAACAGTATTGTCTCAGTGACAGAGCACATGAAACCAATAGATTTTTACTGACTGAACTCCACTCATGTAAGACATAGCAAGCAGCATCTGAAAATCCTAATTCTCAGTTTTTACCACAAAAGATGTATATGTTTAGAAACAGAAAAATGGGGATGAAAAACAGATCTATGCCTTAAAAAGAACTGGTATGATCATAGAGCTACAGAGGAAAAAAGCCCCAAACCTTAAAAGGCCTCTGTGGAATTCATCAAAAAAAATATAAAGACTAAACACTTGTTATCAAGGGGGGTTTGGTAATAGAAAACATTTACATCTGTAAGTGTTATTATAATACAGTCTAAAAAAAGGTATTTATTAAAAAAACTCTAGTCAAAGCTCTCATATGATTATTGAATCATAAAAGAGGTTGGCTGAAGCCTTGAGCCACCTATTCTACTGGGGAGATGTCCCTGTCCATGGCAGGGGTTGGGTTTAGATGATCTGTAAGGTCCATTCCAAGCCCTAAAGTTCTATGATTTCAAAAATATGCACAAAGTTGATCATGGAAAGAAATAGCTTAGAGATCTCATGTCTTTATTCTTGTTACTTTGGTTGTGCTTTTACAAACATTTAATTAATAAGCACAACACATGTCTCTCAAGAAAAACCAACCCAGATTTAAATTGTCAGTCTCTTATTGCTGCCTCAGTTACCTTCTTGCAGCCACAGCTGGGTGATAGACACCTGGCAGCCAAAGGTCCCTAATTTAATTGTCAGTCTATGATTATTGTAAGCTAGCACTGTATGTTTGGGGGAGATTCCTCCCCAGGGATTGCAGCTTTCAGCTTTAGTCCCACAAAGTAGAAAACTTTTGCTTTTGTCATCGAACAAACGTAACATGAGCAACATGTTATTTCTGGTGAGTAGACTTGCCTTTCATAGGATTTAATTGCTTGCTCCAGTTTCTCTTTATAGGCATCAAGATTCACTGCCTGAGGATTAATTAGTGGGATCCTCTTCTTGTCACTGGTAACATGGACCGACGGGAACATCTATTGTACAACAAAAGACAAAGACTTCATTTATCATACAAACTTTCCCCCAGCAGAATGACTGAATCCAAGCATCAGAACAGCCAGAAGGAACACTGGAAGGCTGAAGAAAGTAAAATCTGAGCACCCCAAAGAAATGCCAGGATTGAGACACAGTTTTCAGCCAGTTATAAAATCTTCTGAAATGACACAATCCCTTTATGCAGAAGTTAAAAATTAAGATTCCTAATTGCTAGTTAATTCTAACTAAATCAGTACTGTCAAAGAACTCCCTCTAATAATGGAAGGGTAGGTCAGAAGGAGACAAACATGCCTAGAGCATGACCATATTCCAGATTGTATTGCCTTTAAACAACTCTCTCTTATCCTTATTAGCACCTGATTCTATCACACAGGCATGAGAGCACATATCTGAGTGTATTTAATACTGTTATTCTGAAGGACCTTATTTTCTAAGGAATTAGAATATTAAAATTATAGACAGACATTTTCACCATCACACTGAGCACCAAAGAGCAGATGAGGTGGACATTGCTCACTGAAACTAGTCTTAATTAACCATGATAAGGCTTAGGAATCTAATCAGGTTTATCAGAACCAGGAACTTCAGTACTTTTCAAATCTCACGATACAATAGCTACATAAATCAACTTTATTATAGCATAGAAAGTTATACCCTTACAAGTAGATCTTAAAATGGCAGAGAAAAGGGTAGAAGAGGATGACAGGGAGGAGGTCAAATGTCCTCCAAACCCTCAGTCCAAAGTCCCACCATCTTTCAGCTTCTTCATTTACTCAACAGTTTCTATAAGAAAAGCTAATTTATATATCAATGTCCTGAGGTTGATTCTAAACAGAAAAAATTCCAAGGAAGGATTGGAGAGGACAGAGAATGTTACTCTCCCCAAAGCTGTTTCCAACACATATGGTTAAGTGGGAAACCTCTCAAGTGCCTGTCTGAGATCAGGATATAGATGACAAAAACATGGATGAGGTTCAATTGAAATAAAACTACAACTCCTGTTGGAGGAATAAGGCAATCAATCAGAAAACAAAGCAATGAAAAGACTTCTTTAATTGAGGACATTTTTCAGTGATGTTTTATTTGTGCTTGAATCATCACAGCTTAGCTGGGTTCAAATTACTGCAGTCTAAGCATTTTTTCAGGAGCAGTGGAGTGACTTTATATCCCCTCTCTTTCTGAGGACATCTTCTCTCTGGTTAATAAATCTGTGTCACATCAGTGCCAGACCACATCAGAGCTCCCAATATTAAATTAATCTTAAAATCACTTAGCAGCTAAAGATAATTGGAACTGTCAGTGCAGTATCTTGCCAGAGACAGATGAGGCAAAACTCTGCCTAGAATTGTGGGCAGTGAAATCTGACTCCCTGTCATTTCCAGGTTGGGTTTGAGAGCTGAAAGGCAAAGAACTGATTTTAACCCCTCTGTAAGTTCCTTACTGCCATGGTCGTTGCCTATGACGTTACCCAAACCAAGTTAATAAAACTTTGGCAGAGCTTCACCACGTAGAACTCACTTCTACACTGCCTTACAAAGTCCCAGAGTGACTCCAAGTGCAAACAGCATCATTTGCAACATGAATATTTAATATTGTTTATAAAACATTTTGAATGGACTATGAGGGGCCGACAAGCATAAACACATTATTATTCTGTTGAAGTATAATATGGCAAACTTGAAATATTAGACATATTTTGAGAGCAATGAAAACTGCTCATGAAGTCAAGTGAAATTTGACAGATTCAGCTGAAAGAAATCACAGTGAGGCTTTTTTAGTGCCAAAATGTTTTGGCGTTTTCTAAATTAAATACTTGAACTTTCATATCGAAAGAATTCACTTGTTTCATAGTAGCTTTTATTTCAAAACCAAAATTTCAAGCTTTTAAAGACAAAACCAAAACACAAGCACCCTAGAAAAATCTTTCTCATTTTAGACCAATGAAAGATGTTCTTGTTGGCTGAATCTGAACCTGATTCTTTTAAGCAAAGCATTGAGTCAAAACTCCATGACTTGTGAGGTTGTATTTAAGATGCAACATACACTCACATGGTTCTAAAGGGAAAGTTTCCTCCAGAATTACCATAGTGTAAGTTAGACAAGCTCCCAAGCCATTATTTTTATTCTGAATGCCAATCTGATGGGTAGTTTAAAAAATTAACCTCTTTGAAACAACTCAGGTGAGACTGACAGGTCACACTGAACTGAAAACAACAGGTCAGTGTGCTATATGAGTTATATGAAAGTTTTAAGAAAGTTACAATGTCTTTCTTTGTCATTTCACTTGAAGCAAATTGTTTTGTACAGCATTGTAATCATTGAATGTCTGAATTTTGTTTGAAAAATGGCTAATTTGCATCTGAAATGTTAAAATGTACATTGTTTGATGCTTCTTGTACAAAAAAAAGACACACATTTACTGCATAAAAGAAGACACACTTCAAAAAATCATTACAGATCTTGGGTTTGATTTGGTGTTACCAAAACAGAGGATTTGCTTTTTAATTCCTCACTCTGAATACTATAGCAAACATTCCCATTCCTAAACTTAAAAATCAAACATGAAAACTTCAAAATGTATGATTGTGTAAATTTGTGATAAATCTTTTACTTAGTTCTATATCACATTCCATGACAAAATTCTTGTTAGCTCCTTAATTTTTTAGAGGTGTTGTTTAGCTTTTCCCTTGAGTATTGTTTAAAGAAAGTTTTTATTCATTAAAACAAGCTGCTGCATATTCATAGGATTTTCATAGGATGCATCACACAAGAAGGATTAGAGCAACTTGCCACAAAATGGATTTCCTTTAATTGGAATGGCAATTAGAGCTTCATGATATACAATTCATCATGAGTTTGGTACAATCTCACAATTGTCTCCTCAGATCAGAATCAAATTTTGCTTATTGAATTCTAACACTTTTCAAGAGTTCTTGAGAATGCACAAGAGCACAAACTGCATCTGCAGAGTTTTCCAAGTGACTTGATGGGCCTGAGACACTGCAGTGTCAGCAGAGCCTGAGGTGCTCCAGAAACAACACCGGGTGGCTGCACACTGCCATCAGCTGGAAAAGGATGCAAGAGGTGCTATGAACTGTCAGTTTTATCTTCTTCCTGATCATGAATGAACATTCAGCCATGCAATTGAACATTTACTGCACACCAACCATCCGCAATGAACACCAGAGAATGCAATTAGGACATCTCTATAAATGAATTGAAAAACTTTTGCAAACACGACTGAGTTTTATGGTTGCTTTGAAACAGTGTAAGGATTTTACCTCATGAGATACTTTAGAGCCTACGTGTTTGTGCAGAACTGGGATGGATTTGGTGCCATAAGGGAGAGTTGTAGGAGCCAAGGCATCCCCAATGGTGAGTCGCCTAGCAGCCAAGCCATGGGTCTTCAACCAAACAGCTGAAGGGATACCTAGAGAGCTAGAAAAAAAGAGACTCTAAGATGCAGCACAAGGTAGAGAGACATTTAAAAGGTTTGAAATGACAGAAGGAAAATATAAATTGTAGGTTTTGTGATGCATTTATGCATTTATACAGGCTGCATGGGAAGGAGTGTGGGCAGCAGGTCAAAAGAGGTGATTCTTCCCCTCTACTCTGCCCTGATGAGACCTCAGCTGGAATACTGCACACAGCTCTGGTGCCCTCAACATAAGAAGGACATGGAACTGTTGGAGCAAGTCCAGAGGAGGCCACGAAGTTGCTAAGAGCACTGGAGCATCTCCCCTATGAGGACAGGCTGAGGGAGTTGGGGCTGTTCAGCCTGGAGAAGAGAAGGTTGTGTGGAGACCTCAGAGCAACTTTTCAATATCTGAAGGGGCTACAAGGAGCCAGAGAGGGACTCTGTGTTAGGAGCTGCAATGATGGGACAAGGGGAAATAGGTTCAAACTGAAGGAGGGAAAGTCTAGGCTGGATATTAGGAAAACGCTTTTTCCTGTGAGGGTGGTGAGACACTGTCCCAGGTTGCCCAGGGAGGCTGTGGCTGCCCCAACCCTGGCAGTGTTCACAGCCAGGTTGGATGAGCCTTGAGCAACCTGCTCTGGTGGGAGGTGTCCCTGCCCAGGGCAGGGGTTGGGACTAAATGATCTATAAGGTCTATTCCAACCCCTAAAATTCTACGATTCTATGATTCTATGTACACACATACCTTTTTGATGTCCTTTTCACATTCTGCATTTCCAGATCTAAAAGAAAACATTTGCATTTCATTATCTCAGAGGCTTTGTGCACACAAAAGAATAATTAAGATGACATATAATAGCATCATTTTTTTATTAGAGCCTACTAGCAGCATCACAAAGGCTGCACAATAATGTCTATTAGAGTTGCTAAATTCATCACTGAGAATTAGGTTTCCTCTGTTTCTTGGTGCTTGAGCAATAGTTACGGTGTTCCTATGTGCCTCATGAGCTCTAATTAATCAGTGTGGAAATTTATAAAGTAGGTGTGCAATAATATATTCTTTTAATTGAACTTTGTATGTACTTGTTTCCTATGACTCAGACCCAAAGATTAACCAGTCAATTCCCCAAGCCAAGATGTGATACCAAATCTATCATTAACAAGATGGACAGGCTAATTTAAGGGGTACCACTGTGAAAACCTGTATAAAAGGTATATAAATAAATAAAAACAAGAAGCTGAAATATAAAAAATATCAAACATCTTCAAGTATCATGCATGAGGGTTTAGAACCACTTAGAAGACTTCTCATAAAGTTCAGATTTGCATGAATTAATTACATTAATGCTGTCTATGTATATCCAAGCCCCATTGAAAATACTTTTGTCTCTACATATGTCTGTATCAGAGAGCATATTTTTTGCAAGTCTAAGCATATTAATAAGTGAAACCTCATTTTACATTGGTACCACAAGTAGAACCACCACTCTCATCTTTAACCTCCACATTGATCATAGCCACAAATTACTGTTCCACAACAATCTATAACTGTACAACAAGGTCCAAGAGATTCTCAAGATCTATTTATTCTGTTGATACGAGACAACTGTGATAGCTTTTCAGCAGCCTAAGGCACAGCTCTGTCACAACTGCTGCATGCTCTGGGCACAACTCAGTGGTTGTAAACCTCATAGTTTGGGCACTGGCAGAAGTCTGGCCATGGCTGTAAGGGCACTGTTACAATACCCTCCTGCATGCCCAGCTCTGCACCTCTGCTGTGTTTCAGTCCTTTGTACTGCAGATCTGCACTTTTGCCTCAATTGAGGCACCATTAGGTACAAACGTAGCAGGAGAAATAATATCATCTGCCCCACTCAGAGCTTCCTGTTTCATCAACTTGCCTTTGGAAATGGTTGGGCGTTTCACACTCTTTTTGACAGAAAAACTCTTCTTCTTGGGAAATAGTCCTTCCTCTGGGCCTTCTTCAGATTTCACACCGTGGCTCAGGATTCGCAGCAGACTTGTCTTTGTTTGGCCTGGAGGTGTTGAAAGAGGAAGAAAGGAAGAACATGTCTGGCATTTCTGAGTTCCTCTTTGGTATTGTCCCAATTTTTAAGAGACTGCCTACACAAGACCTCAAACACAAAATTACTTTAGCCCTAATTTATATTTTCCTAAGGATGAAGGCTTCTTTCACATCAGCTGAGTCAACTTGGTTTCAGACTGCATACAAAGGATACTTCAAAGGGAAATAGTGTTAGAGATGTCGTAAGGAGAGTTATTAGGTGTGGGTAATGCTGCAGCTAATGAAACATAGATCAGCTCTTCATTCTTGCCAATTATATACTTACTTAGAATGAAAACAGATAAGGGTTTAATATCTACTGTTAATATCTACTGATCCAGTGAGGAGGTGTCCCTGCCTAGGGCAGGGGTTGGGACTGGATGATCTGTAAGGTCCATTCCAACCCCTAAATTCTATGATTCTATGATGAAAACTGTTTACAGATCTTGCAAAACATTCTGTTAAAATGGTGAATTTTTCATTGCAGGGTGATGAAGCATAAATGAGCAGATATTTGTTTGCCTGTTTGGGTCAAGATGGCTGAGAAGTAAAAAAAGATGTTGGCTAGATTTTCAACAAGATGATTATTGAAACTGATGATTTATTTCACGAACTTCATTTGTTCCTGCAACGAGGGATGGTTTTTGCCATTTGTAACAGAATCTTTTCAAGTTAGTGAATAAATTCTGCTACCAACTACAGTTCATGTTAGTCTTACCTGCATGTAATGATTTCTTCCTTGGGGTTGGGTTGTCAGCAGTGGTTTGCCAGGTTTGCTGATGTGGTGTCTGCACTGGCTCTTCCAAAGCACAGCACAACTCCCTGCTAAGAGTGGTACTCAGCTTTTCAGTGTGTTTGGATGCAGGAGCCCCTGGATGTGTCTGCTTGTGATTACTGCTTGTGAGTGACAAAAACAAATTACTTCAAACATATAACACTTGTTTAAAACAAGCTAACCTCAAGTTTTCTGGTACTTTAAATACTCATTTCAAATGCTTCAAAGAGTGTGAAATATTTTCTCTGTTAAACGAGTTTGCATTTCAAAGGGGAGTTCAAAGGAGGTTAAAATAGTCTCAGTTTTTTTAATTATTTAAAAGTAATTTCTTAGTTTATTTAAACGGTGTTCATTAGATCTAAGGTTACACCCTCATATATTTTACATAAGGGCAGAATGTTCTGTAATAGCTACTTTGAGTCCCAGGAGTAAGAGTAAACCTACCATCAGTGATGAAAATATCTGACACACACACAGAGACATATATATACATACACATATATATCTACATCCCAGCATTAATAATGAATAAAATATGCAAATTCTGAAATAAGCACCTAACGATATTTTCATACTGAACATCCTACCTGCCCTTCCACACAAATGAAATCCTTCCACAGCACTCTCCTCTTTTAATTCATTTTTCTTTATGCTTCAACCTTTAACTTACTTTTATAAATAGATTTCTGTCTTAAATATCTGATTTCCTAGAATGTCTTTTTTTTGCTTGTTTGCTCTTATTGCACTGATAAATACACACGTGTATTTGTATACAATTTATGTTTCAATCAGCATATCTCACTGAGTGGCAATTCAGTCATGAAATACTAGGCCATATACACTAATATGACAATAATTTTTCATTAATTCTCTAGGTCAGAGGCAGAAACTTTACAATGGGTTGGAGACGGAAAAATAATTTACCTCTTTGCTTTAATTCTTCTAATATCTTGGACTATTTGGATATTTTGTTTCAGGCATCACAATATTAGTGTATTTTTCCAGATTTTTCTTTTCCATTACTGTAGCTGTTTAAAAACCCAACAAACTAAACAACAAAACAACAGCCTTTCTTTTTAAAAGAGAATGTCAGATGTTAAAAGTGCAAGACAATAAAAAAAGGAGAAATGTAACAGATGACTCTCATCTCTAATTAATATAATTAGAGTATGAGGACATACTTTTTCTCTGGATAATTTTCTTCATTACAACAATCCATCATCATACTTTTGGTGTGAAAGGCCTTCACTTTCTCTAGGTCTCTTTCTCCTTGATCAATCTCTCTTTTCAAAAGATCTATGTCTTCATTCTGTCAAAATCAAATGTTTTAGTACAATTACTCCTAGAGCCATTTCATTTCTGGACTGAACCTATGCAAAATCAGCTCAGGAGGGACATTGAGGGGCTGGAGCAGGTCCAGAGAAGAGCAACGAGGCTGGTGAAGGAACTGGAGCACAAGTGCCATGAGGAGAGGCTGAGGGAGCTGGGGGTGTTCAGCCTGGAGAAGAGGAGGCTCAGGGGAGACCTTCTCACCCTCTGCAACTCCCTGACAGGAGGTTGGAGTCAGGTGGGGGTTGGTCTCTGCTCCCAGGCAACCAGCAGCAGGACAAGAGGGCACAGACTCAAGCTCTGCCAGGGGAGGGTTAGGTTGGCTATTAGGAAGAGATTTTTTCCAGAGAGAGTGCTCAGGCATTGGAATGGGCTGCCCAGGGAGGTGGTGGATTCACCATCCCTGGAGGTTTTCAAGCTGAGACTGATGTGGCACTTAGTGCCATGGTCTGGTGACCACGGTAGGGTTGGACTGGATGATCTTGGAGGGCTTTTCCAACCTGGTTGATTCTATGATTCTATGATTCTAAGATTTGATAATAATTTTGAAAAATGACTCAGGGCAGCTTCAGAATTTTGCATATTTTTTCAGGTGCTTGGCATTGCAGCCTTTCAAATTATTCTTTCTTTTTAGGAAAAGGACAAACATTCCCTAACCAGCCAGTTACCCCTTGAGATAGGAACAGCCATATTTCTGAATAACATAATGAGGTTGGTAGTTCCACTCTTCCCAAGCAAGCAGAAAAATAAATTAAGCAAATAAATAAAATACATGATATGCACATTACAACTGGTGTCCTACCATTCTACAGTTCATAGCTGTATCACATGTTGCCCCTGGGAAGTATAAAACATACTCTTCAAGTGAACATTGGGACTAACATGGAATCATTTGGACTAAAGGAGGAAAGAGGAAGGAAATTCCAACAATAATCTCTTTACAGCTCCCACAGGGCCTAAAGTCTGGAGATGTCCAACAGACTCTGTCCCTTGTCTTTCCAACACAATCAATGTCACACAGTCCACAGCAGCACAATCACTGAAACTGTCCAGTACACTGATATTTTTCAAGGCCTGGATTATTTTTACATCCTTCTTCTCACTGGTGTCCGCAAAGTTCAAATTGCCTGCTACTGTCTTGCTCCTGGTTGTTCTCATTGTTCCATTACCCCCATTTCTAAAATTGTGAAGTCAATTAGCTGAGCGTTAACTTTAATTAAAAACAAGAATACGATTCTAAAGGATGTTTCTGTTAGCCTATTCAGAAATTTCCTACTGGGGATTGTTAGATTGAGCTGCTTAGTCACACTTGATAGATGACTGCTATTCTAGCCATTTTACTCATTATAGATCTCTCCCCAGTGGCTACTGTAGAGCAAACTTTTAACTAAATCCATGCAATCATTCATTCATCATCATTCAAACTCATTCTCTCATTTATTAACAGGATAAAGGCCTGTGTCATTTTAAACAATAACTTGTTTCTGAGACAACAGAGATCACGTGTCTCTTCCAGAGCTGAATTTGGTCTACATGTTTTTTAAGGCTTTGGATTTCAGGCAGAGGTTTAGGAGATGGGGAATGTTTTTGTAACACTAGTGCTACAAATATCCTTTGCATGAAATTTGGGCTTTTTTGTGGTCTAATAAAGTCTCACAAGCAAAAAATGTCACACTTTCTGTTTTCACATCACTTCAAATCTGACTAGGACTAACACTCCTTTTACACAATCTGTTGTAATATGAAATAACAATAATATAAGTCATGGTTCTTTCAATAGCATGAAGAAGCAAATATATTTATCTTCAGATACTCACAACAAATTTTGCAGCATCAGGATCAGTCAAATAAATGTTGCAATGGTGAAACTGTCCCTCTGTTTTGGTCGAAAGTTCATACAAAAACTTATTAGCTTCTATATCGTCACAGTTGAAGGATACAGTATGGATAGGAATTTTACAATGCTGCTGGACCTCAGCCAGAATTATCTGGGGGGGCTGAAGATTGAAAAGGGGAAAAAGCAATGTTAAAAATGTTGCATCTAGAAACTTATTTATCAAAACATGGAGGATTTGTAATAATCACAGAATCATCAAAGCTCTAAGGTATCGAATCCAAC